GAAAGATAAGGAAAGGGGGGGGGGAACAAGCAAGAAGCACAAAAGGGGAGGAGGGAGGCTCGCGCGTTGACAGGTATCTGAGGCGATGCAGACGCCTACGACAAGGTAGTTACGTTCGCAAGCACGTAGGACGTAGCACTTTCTTAAAAGCACGCAGTAGCGATGCCACTTAATCGCGACGATGGCAATGTCCGTCTTCTACCTCATACTACCACTGAATCTTCCTTCTGAAAGCTCAACGCTGTTATTCCGGAAAATAGATACGAACAAGTGAAAGATGTATTAATATACAGGGGGGGGGGCAAAAAAAGTCATTCCGGCCGAGTCACATATGAGCGAAGTTTTCGCAGCCCAGACAGAGGAAGTGGATATGAGTACCAGGGCGGAAGATACCCAAGATCTTCCTCTATAAGCAGGAGCCGGCTGCCGCCATTCACCTTCATGTACACCAAAATATGAAGTCATCTCCAGTCGCGGCCTGAGTGGAGAACGCCTTTGGAATTCACGTGGCCTCCAAACAGCTGCGGAACTTCTTGAATGGAATCACCCATGGATAGCTACCTGGAGACCAGTACTCTTGATCTGCAAGACCTCAAACATCGAGCAGCTCGGCAACGTCGCTACGGTCCAGGACATCATCTTCACCCCATTCACCAAGGCGCGGGTTGATGGTGTGGACCGGCCGTACCTGGAATGGGAAGACCGATATTTTCTTTGTAGACCCCGACTGAAGGTGAGCGCTGCAGGTTACATCAGACTTCGAGAAGGATATCACTCCTAGCATGTGGTCGCCCGTACCTTCTTGGAAACCTTGTGCTGCTACAGGTTTGGGTGCCACCACATGGAATCGAAGGGTTTTGGAAAAACTCCCGCCTACTTCGAATGGAAGGGCGTTTCGTACCTGATGAAGATGTAATATTGAAGTATGTCCCCTGACCTGAACCCCCTCAATTACTCGGTTCGGGCGGAGCTCAACAGGGTGGTCTACAGTGGCGGAGAAATCAACGATCTCGCTCAACTCCGGTACCCACTCACTTTCGCGCGGCCGAATCTCTCGATGGCGCTCCTCCAGAAGGCTGTGGCGGAGTATATTATAGTATTTAATGTGCTTCTTTAATATGGTAGTAAAAATGTCCGATAAAAATTTAATAAAGTGTAACTTATAGCGCCTTGAAAGTCATGGAGGCAAAATGACTTTTTTTGCCCCCCCCCCCTGGTATAGTTTTCGCTGCGGACGTTGGGCGTGTCAGGCAGTATGAGTATGTTCACGCCGTCAAAGCCGTTCTCTGCCTTCTTGTTGAAGCGCGCATGCGACAAAAAGTGGTAGGAAACGAGTGATACGAAAATGATACAGTCATATCCTTGCTCTTTTGACGAATGGCTCGAGAACGCGTTGCACTGCCCCGCCAGACCCATCCGCCTCACACGCCACCAGTCACAGCGGCTACACTATATGTCGTCAAGACGATCACTTGGTCGCTGACACGTCAAACGTGCACCGCGACAACACGTCCTTTGGCTGGTGGCACTCGTCCGAACTCTGAAACTAGTGCATTTCCCCATGTGCCAGGAGATGACCTGCGTTACGCAGGTATGTGACACCGGAGGGTCGTCAATTGCCGCCGGCTGCTGCGGCGTCCGCAAAGGGACAAGGTTCAGCGAGTAGAAGGCGATCAACATGCAATTTAAGGAAGCGAAAAGCAGTAATGGAGTCGAGTGCGTGTACGATGACGTCGCGTCTACATGAGGGCCGGTGCTTCATTCCAGCTTATAAACCGTGGCCTGCGCTGCTGGCAAATCACGATGCCGTCTTTACCGTTCCCGGTTAAGTCAGCATGAGTATCGGGACTAAGGCACACCCCTGCTTGGTGCCTGGCCCCTTACGGCCTTATAATGCAGAAATTTAGGACGAGTTGTCCATTCTGGTAGACTCGCACCGTGCCTACCACTTACCCATCAATACACGTCAATGGCAAAATGATCGCGCCAATCGACCGTCTCTCGCATGTAACAAACCCGAGCGGCTGACCGGGGAAGGAACGAGATAGCTTCCCTTTGCCCCTTGGGCTCAACGACATACATACATACAGTAGCTCGTCTGGATAGGTGCGAACTAGCCACCTGTCTTTGCCACTCATGTTTACACTCTTTACTGGAATGCTTGTCCCGAGCGTTTGAAAAGTACGCTGTGTGGACAATCATTGAAAACGCGCTAGCAAGCAGGGAACTGACGATGACCAAGAATGTTTCATGTGCAAGCGCCAATCCAAACCATATCCGTCAGCGCGCTAATAATCTTGAAGAACATTTGATTAGACTTTGTGCATCTGAAAGAAAAGGAAAGCAACATATTGAATCAGACACTCCGATACACGAAAGTGTCTCTACCTTTTCCTCAGACAAACCTGGGCTTTAAAAAAGTGAACACAAACTTAGACTAGCTGAAGAGATTGAGACTTTATGCCAGAGCCAAAGAGCGCGAAAAAGCCTTCGGGTGTGAACAATTTGTCCATCCGGATCTTCCTTTACTTCCTTTTTCTTCCTTCGTTCAGTTCGTTCTATGTGGACAGCGTTATATCTCGGTAAGAAGACCATCAAGTCACGTCTCGTGATAGAAAAATTATGGGACATGTAATTCAAACTTCAAAGATAAGTCACTCAATAGTGACGAAAAAAGATAAAACAAAGATTGAATGCCTCAATATAGGGGACCCTGCCGATTCAAACTTGCAGCGCCATACCAAAGAAAAAGGTTGTGGTTCGAGTACTCGTGCGCTGCTTTCGAAACCCCTTCCTGAAGGAACAGCGCCCCCCGCCCGCGATGGACTTTGGCAGGTTTCAGGGGTCAAATTTGTTAGAACAGGTGGCCAATGAAGCACTAATCAAAAAAAGTAGGAAAAAGGTGTGGAAGAGCGTGAAATAAGACCCTACGAAATTTAAGGCATGTGGACGAGTTTCGCAGACCTTTGGTGAGTTCTCCAATACACGTCGCGGCCTCGGAACTCCAGAAACTTAGCGTTTATCAATGCCAGCAAGCACTGATAACTGTTAACCAGTCGGGCGCGGATTAACAGGAAAGGAGGCGTCAGCTCAGCCTTGTTGACTCCGCCCTCGTCAACCAATCGATTTCGAGCCGCAAGAGTGGGATTTCCGCTGTGGTTGCGTACTCCGCGTTCGTTTTCATTGGAGGGTTTTTCATTTGGTTGATCGCGGACGCTGCCTTTAACACCTCACTTTCATCATTAGGAATGAAAAGAACTAGTAGCGGAACAGCTGCACAATGGCTGACTCTTCAGAAATGAACGCCTGGTGTGAAACGCGGCAGTAAGTAAGGCGCAATTCCCCTTTTTTTCCGTCGCGCGTCAAGTGTGGCTGGTTACCAGGTATTTTCAAGCTGTGAAAGTGATATATTCTTCAGGCCTGCGGAAAGGACTACGTCAGTTGAGGAGTATACACATCAGAAGAAAGCAAAAAATCTTTAACTGCCCTCTCCCCCGCACACATAGAAGGTTTCAAGACACCCAATCGTCGAGAGAATCCTCGCTATGTCATTAGTACACTAACGAAGCCAAAAAATATCTTTAAACGAAGATGCTTCACATTCCCCGACTGGCTTGCAGCCAGATATGACAAGAATGCAGCTGGAAAACAATACCTGAACTTTCAACACGTTCTGAAAGATTTTGGGATTTCCAGCGATCTTCCTCAGTAATGGTACAGCAAAAAGTTGAGCGGTGACCCAACTAGAAACTGGATTGCCTGAACATCACAAATGTTATGCATATGCATATAACTGTGAATGCTGTAAAAGAACGCAACCTGGCAGAGCAAAGACATATTTCTTTTCGCCATCGACTATACCGGTTGCGAACGTGGTTGGAAGTCCAGGCTTCATCCAGACTCTACCAAAATGGATCTAAAAAACGATATGTGCCGTCATAACAAAGTGAGGGTTCCTTCCAAGTCTATTGAGCGTTGTTCGGCTTAGTGAGGCGTTTTTCTGGTCCCCATCAATCCTGCCGCATGCGCTGCATCAAGTGTGTGGGTAATTTTTGTGAAGCTTTGCAATAGCGCATGAGCTTCGCTTACACCTGTCAAAGGTCTACAGGTGTTACCATGATGACGCGTGCTTTAGCATAAATTAGCAGAAGAAGCTAGTGAAAGTGTGCAATGACACCAACACCCTCCTTTCTCCCCTCCTCAAAAGCCGAGCAGCGTCATCTACTTTTATAATTGCCGGTGAATTCAGAAATGGAGAGCGATAACCCACCTTGAAGCCGAAATCATTCATCAGCATCCTTCATTTATCCTTTCACCCATGCTCACACCTCCAGATGTCACAAGCACGTGGGCATAGCGGAATGATACTTTCATGGCCTCCACGATACATTCACGCCTGAAAATCAGATCTGTCAATCCAGTGAAACATGCAGTGGGGGGCGGGGGGAGACGGTCCAAGACAAGCGTGAATTTCTCGCTTCGTCGCGGCCACGATTGGCGCGGTTTCTCTTCATTGCATTGACGGTTTATCGCCACTCGACGCCCGACTGGATCGTAACCTAGACATCGTAGACATTTAGGGCCATCTCTGGGTATACATTGTCCATTGCTCGATCCTTTAAAACCAGGAACATCGCCAATTCGCTGGTCAACTGGCGTCCGCGATAAGGCGACTGTCGGATTTTTTCTGTCCCATAGCCAGTGGCGGTTTGCCGCAGATAACATAGTCACCGAACTATCTACAGGCGATTCCTGCCGTCATCGCCTGAATCCCAGCGAACTGAACAGTGCAATCAACTGAGGGCGGTTTGTATCACGAATGTGACCAGCGGGAACATCCTCTGCCGTACACTCTGCTAACTGAAACATTAGCATAGCATTAAAATTCACGTGATACGTATGTACCACTGAGCCACAGCGACGAAAGTTATGCAGCAACTTTGTCGCTTCTGAGCGTTGGGCGAAGCCTTGTGCGCACCTTCTTTACATTTTGGGAAAATCTTTTATTTTGGCGGGCGGCAAGACCATATCAATTAATCTCGGATTAGAGTTCCGCGCACAACCGATTCGTGGGCGTTTTCTCTTCTAAGCAGTTTGGTCTGCAGTACTGTCTCACTTTGCGGCTTCACCGTAGGTAACGAAGGCGCTGCGGTCCTCATGAATCACATTTCTGACGCCTCCCTAATGTCCCGCCCATTAAAGCTCAAAGGCTATTCTCTCACGAGTTAAGTTTTCACAAAGCATCTTTTCCTTTTCACTGCTAGATAGTATTGACATTTGGTGACGAGAAGAAACGACTAGTGAGCTAGACAGTGGACGACAACACCTCGCTTTGCCCGTAAAACGAGGAGGTCTGGAGAGGGGTCTTCCTCCAGGGAGTTCTGTAATACATGTTTTTTTTGTTTCCTTTTCTTCACAAAAGAATCACTTAGCGACTACTGGTTTGTAACTGAATGTCATGTTCGCAATTCTCTTTAAACAAGGTTGGACTTCACGTGGTGCGAAAACAAAAAAAAACCAAAGTAAACTGAAGCCCCACCTCATTGCCTGTCGACATGACGCAGACCTTGGGCCTTCTGTACATCAATACTGAACGTTTTCCGCTTCCAGCAAGAACACCAATTTCCGCCGAACCAAGTGTGCATCCAGAATCTAGGAGAAGTTCTCCCTTTTTGATGTCGCTCCCAGGCATACTGAAATCGATATTTTCACCAAGGAGAAGAGACCAGAGAGCTCACAAAACGCCAGCAATGAAAACAAAAGTGGCCACAAATATAATGGTCATCATTTTCAGGTCCTTAGGTCCATTTGAACTTATTGCTGAAACCACATTCTGATCGCAGTATTTTTTGCTGAGTTGATGGCCAAAACAGTTTGCGGGCTTAGTTTGACCCAGTGAATACATATGTCACATACACTTGCCGCGAGAAGGCCTGGCGCCCGTGCCAAGACAGCTCAAAGCACAAAACTTGCTTAAGAATGATGAAAGTGGAAGTACTACTCTCTTTCACCACTTCTCTCTTTTGAGTGAAAAGAAATCGAGCGGGGCAGAAAAATGCAAAACAGGGAGTATTTTACGTTCTTCCCCATCAAACTGTTAAACTCATGACTACAATAGTTGAAAAGGACGCCTACCGGATGTCCTGTCCAGGTTTCACGTTGACTTCCACACTTACTATCAGTTCTTCAG